AGACAGCCCACAGAATGGGAAAACATATTTGCTCTCTACACATCTGATAAAGGGCTGATAACCAGAATCTATCTAGAACTCAAAAAAATCAACAATCTAATTATTAAATAGAATTCCCTGTATCTAAAATGGTGCCTTTTACATATTGAAAGGCATTTTACTGTGGTTTCTCTATAATATCAAATAAAGAATATTGAACACTTTTCACATTTTATGAATGATCTATAAAGTCAGATGCTTTGGAAAAGTCAGTGTGACAAGAAATAATAACGAGTTAAACTTTTGAATTGTTTGCTAAGTCAGACTGTTATTAATATAATTTAGGATTGTCCTTAAACAGCTATTCAAAAACTCATAGAACTGTAGAACTACTGTGTATGTGTGATTGGTAAAGGTGCTTTTGCTATCTCATTAGAAGGATTAAAGTAGAGGAGATATACACAAATTTAAAAATTATGTGTGATCATAAGACTTAAGATAATTAAAAACAAAATTGCAGGTCATTAAAAAAAGAAAGCCTTAGTACAGGAAGTTAGTTTCTGAGTTTAAATCAAGGTGGGAAACAGCAAGAAAAGGAGCCTTATTTTCTAGCACTTAATAACTAACACTCTATCAGACCTGAAATAAAAAAGAATTTTAGGAATGAATCATCTCTCCCCCCGCCATGAAAAACAGCTGGTAACATAGCAATAAAAACAGCCTAGTTGAGGCAATCAGACCTTAGACGCTGGAACTTATTGCTCCAAATCACAGTACTCCTAAGGCTAGAGGTATTGACCGGTAAATCCTTAAAATAATGGAATTCATGAAGGATTCCTAGATCTTAGGTTGCCTCTGGTCAAAGTTAACACCCATAATGACCGAATCCACCTTCTCTAGGTCTGTTACTATGCAGATATCTCCTTCCTTTTCCCGAGTATGTTGGGGAGCGGGGGTCACGTTTGTGATAGTAAGTCTATGAACTTGTAGTAACATATATGCAGTCTTCAGAAAAGTAGAAAAAAGTCTGCTGTAAATAGTTTGTGTTAATTAGCCTACAGATTGCATCAAGCAAGCTCTGCGGTAGGTTTACTCATCTTTAATTATATCCATTTTTAGACCAGTAGTAACTTACGAGATTTCTGGAATGTGTTTAGTAATCCACTGTGGAGAGTGACTCAGAGTCACAGAAGAAAGATGTCCAGTGTGTACAGTTGCTGTAGACTCCTGTCACTTGTTGCCCACACTGTAACGTGAATAGGGAATGCATCAGAAGTACATAGTTCACTTAGCACAATAGCAAATGTGAAGCTATTATGGAGACGTGATGCATTTTATGTTGAATCATATGAGTGGTCATAACTTCTACCAAAAACATGTATGTCGTTCTTCAAACGCCCTTTGCATTGCCCCCGACTGTGTTTTGAAGACAAAACAGATCATCTTTTGTAGAATTCAGCAGTTTGCTCATTTTGTTGTGGACAATAACAGTGTTCTCATTTCTCCCATTCAAGATACGTGGAAAATTAGTCTTATCAACCCTCTTAGAGACGAGATTGTAAGCTTTCTGAATGAGTACCTTACTCTTGAATGTGTGGCTTTTCACTGAAGTATTGAAGCACATCCGAAGGTCAGTTCTTATAAGGGCTATGATCGTGGTTTTCCAATTTAGTGAGATTTTGATCAAATGATTTAAATGATAATGAATGTAACAGCTGGTCAATCAACACGTTCATAACTAGTTGTAAGCTTTCTGTATTTTATAAAAGCTTAGATTTGGGTAGTACCTTAGCCTTAGCAACAATTTAGTTCAATGTCCTATGTCTTTGTGTATGCATTTATATCTTTACTTTGGTTTTTTGTCATGTTTGCGTTCGTAACTGCTAGATTTTTTTATTCTCTCTCTTTTCATGTGGAAAGAATTCGCTCTGAGAAATAATAAAAGAGTCTTAAAAGAGGAATGTGCTTCTACATCAGAGATTAATGGGAGCCGTGTTAGGAAGGGTGCTCTATCTTGGGAGAGTCCAGTTGAAGACAAGATTTAAATCTAGTAGGAGAGTTTAATGTGTTTGGTTACCTCTAAGGTGGAATCAGCTAACTGGAGTCTAACCCAGAGTGGAATGATGTTAAAAGACCTTTGAGAGTTCACCTCCACCAGCCAAGGAGGCGAAGAAATGTTTGTTAATTTTTTTATCCATATAATTAACTGTACTTATTAAACGAACCATGTCTTATGGCATCCTCTCCTCTCTCCACCTCAGTAGTCTGTAACTGTTAAATAGGTGATTTCTGAGTGCACTGTGTTCAGAAGTTCCATTGTGTGTTCTAAGAAAAGACATTCTCTTACTCATGTCTATCCACCAGGGCCTTTCTAAAGGGAGCTTGCAGAGGTCTGCGGAATTACAGTGGAAGAACGGGTTCTCTGTGACAACAGTTACAGCCTAAAAAGAGGGTTCAGTCCTAGATGCATCCAATTTGGAAACTGGGCTGGAGGGGAAACAGCAGAAAACCCAGATAACGTTGCTGGGAAACTTTACAAATTATCAGGTCAAACCTCAATAAGATGCGTAAGCCTTTCCAGTCAATTCGTGGCAGAGCTAAGTTCAGGACACAGACTCCTGTCTGGCAGTCTTGACTCTTCCCATTACAGAGCAGGGCATGAAAATGGCTCCCAGCTTTAGTGAACCTACACAACCAATGAGACAAGACACATGAAACAAGCAGGGGAAGAGGAAGTCTTCTCATTTTTATATATATGCACGTAGTAAGTTTACCAAATATTATCTGATAATAAAATGCATAGCTTCTTAAAGCTATATTTAAAATGGTTACATGTTAATATAGCTTATTTTTAATGGCTGCTAAACTGTGTAATTTTAAACTTATGTTATTTAATAATGTATATATGACCTACAAAATGAAATGAAGCATGCAATCAAGTAATTGTCAACTCAATTTATTGAGCCTAGTAACAAGGATATACCATTTAAAATTTTAATCTAGACTATATTGTCAGTGGTAGACTTTGAACCTAAATTATCTAAGCCATGTCCTCATTTCCTTTTGTCAAGGTAAATATCACCACAAAAAGACAACTTATTTTGAAGGTGATCGAACTAAAGCTGGTTGCTAACAGAAAATAAAAAGTAACAAACAAGACAGAAATATATTTGGCACAGTAAAGATCATATTGTGGCTTATACCTAATGCTTCAAACTTCATCTGTAAAGTAAGGATAAATGTTTCTAACTCACTAAGTTTTTGTGAGGATAAAAGACAGTCCTTTCTGCTATAACCCAACATATGCATTTCTAAAAACCACTGCAACATGCAAAATCGTGCAATAAAAAACACTCAAAAACTCAACCACTTCATCAGTGACACATAGAAAAGGATAGTAGCTAAATAAAAATCACAGCACAGTTTTACACATGTTAAAAGGTTAACAAGTATGTGAATACTATAATAAATATGGTATTTTACCTTAAAAAGGGTCTTAAGTTTGCTTTTAAGTTTCCAGTGTTCTGTGTAAAAGAAGAAAGAAAGATAAAAGATAATGAGACAAAGCTTCTATTATAAAAAAAAGGGATAAAGAGAGGAAAAAGAATGAAGAATAGAGAAGAAAAATTCAAACAGGCTGAGAGGAAAGAGGGGGAATTAATAGGAGGGAAGGCGCTGGGCTGCATGGCCAAGGTGGCAATGGAAGGGGTTATTGCTTCTGAGCTGTTGTCAAATGGTTCGCGTTAGTCTGCCTGGGCCAGCATAACAAAATACCAGAGACTGGTGGGTTCAACAACAAATTTATTTTCTTCTGGTTCTGGAGGTCGCAAGCCTCAGATCAAGGTGCCAGCAGATTCAGGTTCTGGTGAGGGCTCTCCTGCTGGCTTGCAGAGGGTTGCCTTCTAGCGTTGTCCTTGCTTGGCTTTTTCCTCTGTGCATAGAGGTAAAGAGTGCTCTGGTGTCTCTTCTTCTGCTTATAAGGACACTAGTCCTAATGGATTAGAGCCCCATCTGCATGACTTCGTTTAACCATTATCTCTTAAAGCCCCCATCTCCAAATACAGTTGCATTGGGGATGAGGGCTTCAACATAGGAATTTGGGGGCAGCACAATTCGGTCCATAACACGGTTGAAGGAGGGATACCTGAAATCAGGTGGAAAGTTGTAACACCAGATATGGATAGGTGTGGCTCACTGATCTGATAACGGAGGTGCATGTATATATTGTGTATTCCTACATAGCTCAGTTCAAGTGAAATATTGCATATAACCTAACACAAAATTCACATTCTGCTCAAATTGTTTCCTAATATATCAGTGGAGTTGGAACAAATTAGTGTTCTGCAAACAAGTGTTGTAACAGAACTAACTGTACTCATTCATTCAATTAAAAATTACCCAAAACTATGAAACTCCTAGAAAAAACACTTCCCAGAACAATTCTCATAGGCAAAATGCTTCATGACATCGGTTCGGGTTGGGCAAGAATTTTAAAAATAAGATCTCAAAAGCGCAGGCAGCAAAAACAGACAAATGGGATTACATCAAACTGAAGAACTTTTGCACAACACAGGAAACAATTAACAGAGTGGAGACAATGCACAGAATGGGAGAAAATATTCTCAAACTATACATCTAACAAGGGGTTAATATCCAGAATATATAAGGAACTAAAACAACTTAACAGCAAAAAATTAAACAACTTAATTAAAAATAGGCAAAAGACCTTAATAGACATTGAAGACAAACAAATGGCCAACAGGTATATGAAAAAATGCACTACATCACTAATCATCAGGGAAACACAAATCAAAACCACAATGAAATGGCACTTCATTCCAGTT